AGGAAGGCACTACACATTCTGTATCTAAAACTAGATTGCATGTTTACAAGGAGTATACAATTACTCATTACTAAATTTAAGGAAATAATCTTATTCATATAATTGAAATATGCAACAGAAAGAACCTATTTGTGTTGGGTCAGAATTTATTCCTTTTAAGTAAAAGCTACTTCAAAATATCATAGATGAAAATACAATTATAAACTTGAGCTTTGAGTAATTTGGAAATGAGTCTAGAAAAACATGAAATGTGTGCTTTTAATGAATAAGACTAAATATAGGAGATAATTTCATAAAGCATTTATCTGTAAACTGCTGGTTAATTTTAATGAAGATGTCAAGGATAAATATATGAAACTGTAAACTATTCAAGTAGGATGAATCATTAGCAATTAACTGGTGCAGGCACCAACCCACCGCACAAAGCCCTTCAGTTTTAAGCCTTCCTATCTATATTTTTCACAATCTTTAGTCACTTTGGGAGTTAGAGTTCCTGAGATTATGAGAGTTTCTTAACACCCTTTCATATTTAAATCAGATTATAATCATCTTAAGAGTTATTTAGATACGGAAACATTCTGTGATGTTAACAGAAATATATATTTTTATAAAAAAATGCAATGAGAAAAATGTAGAAAATCAGTCACATACATAGAAAAAGTTAACATCTTGATGTGCACCCTCCAATATTTTATCTTCACATATTTTTAACATTCATCTTACACCATATACAAGTTTTTATTCCTTAATATTATATTAATGATAATAGGATAAGCATTTCCTATTAATTATTTTTAGAACCTTCTTTTAAAAAGAATTGTTTATTTAATTCCATTTGCTATTATTATTATTATTTTTATTTTACCAGAGAGAGACAGAGAGAGGGAGAAAAGAAAAGTGAGAAAGCAAGTCGCCAGGTCTGGGACTCAAACTGTGGTCGACCAAGTGGGAATCCTGTGCCTTTAAACACCACGTCACTTGCTGCCCCCTAGGGCCTTTGTTTTCATCAACTATATATTTTTTTTAAGAATTATTTCATTTAATTTAATTAATTTTGGGGGGGAGAGATTTTCACTATAGGGCATGTGCGCTCGCCAGACAGAGAGAGACGTAGAGACAGAAAGCGAGAAATCACCCCCCCCAGGGAGGATGGTCACACCGCAAGTCCTTCGCCTCCATTCTCCTCTCGGGATCTTGGGCATGTATGCACATGCGCCCGGCGTGAGCTTTAAGCCACCAGGTCCGGGATGCGAACCGCGGTCGACTACATGGGAGTCCAGAGACATAGCCATTACACTAACTGCTGATTCCCTAATTTATTTATTTTAATCTGACCAGAGAAGGACAGAGAGAGAGAGAGTGAGAAAGCAAACCACCAGGTCCGGGACTCAAACCATCATCAGCCATGTGGGAGTCCAGCACCCTTAACCACATTGTCACCTGCTGGCCCCTATCAACTATATTTTATTTGTAAATTCACTTGTGATTAAAAATTGAGATTACATGTTGAGTTACTATAAATATGCCTGTAAGAAATATACTTGCTTATAGTCTCTTAAGGCATCACTGAACATAACTGATAGTCATTTTTTTAATTTTTATTATTTTTAAATAATTATTTTATTTAACTTTTTTTTTAATTTGACCAGAGAGAAATAGAGAGCGAGCAAGTGAGAGAGAGAGAGAGAGAGAGGGAGAAAGAAAGCAAGCAACCAGGTCCAGGACACAAACTGGTTGGCCGTGTGGGAGTGTAACACCCTTAATCATTACACCACCTGCCAGCACCTATTTTTACTTTTTTTAATTTTATAATTTGTTATTTGCATTCAATCATTGTACACCACTAGAGTACACATTTTTTTCAGAGTATACATGTGGTACACGATAATCAAATCAAGAATATTACATAAACTTCACTTTCAACAGAGAACTTTACAATCTTGTACATGATAAAAGGCTTTCCCTAAATCCCTCCCACCCATTCTCTACTATCAACTCCTTTACTCCACAGTTTCTGTTATCTACACTTGTCTTTCCTACTATTTTACCTTCAGATCTTTCAGTTTTTACTGTAGAGAGCCAAAATTCATATATATTGAGCAGATATATACCGTGTCTGTCTTACATAATCTAACTTACCTCACTCAGCATGCACTCTCCCGTATTCATGCACTTTAAGTCAAATGGCAGGGTCTCATGTTCCTTATGGATACATCTTTTACATATAATATTAGGAAAGTGAGGAAGAGAGAGAGAGATACATAGGCACAGCACAAAGGATTTTTAGGGTCATGAAACAGCTCTGGATAATACTAGAATGTGAAATTCATGTCATTATAAATTTGTCCACATCCTAGAACATATAACATCAAGGGCTAATCCCAATATAAAACTCTGGACTTTGGTTAATAATGATTTAAAGATGCTATTTCATTTTTTCTAGCCTTCATGATTTATGTTAAACCAGTCTTTACCTGTATTGTGGAGCAACCGTACATATCTTTTCTAACTTGCTGCTTTCAAAATTGTCTCACTTAAATTTTCAACAGTTTGAACATGATGTGTGCAGTGGTTAACTGCTTTTCTTGAATCTGTAAATTGATATTTTATGTCATGTTTGGAAAGTTTTAGTTCAATATTTGTTTAAATATTTGTATGTTCAAGTCTCATTCTTCTTTTTTTTTTTCTTAAAGTTTAGTTCATTTCTTTTATTAACTCATAAACAATTACTTGTCTTCTGGGTTGTTGAAACAGTAAGTCAGACAACATTCGCCACAATAATGTCTGTCCAAATGGCTGGCCATAAAAACTCCAGCACCACACTCATCTGAAGGGTACTCCCCACGAAGGCGGCTAATTTTGCCATTTTCATCCACCTTACAGTATCTCAGGACAGCCAGCTTAATTTCTTTCTCTTATGCTTATTCTTCTTGGGAATGGTGTAAGACTTCTTCTTTCTTTTCTTAGCACCACCACCGAGTCTCAACACAAGATGAAGCCCGGACTCCTTTTGGATGTTGTAGTCAGACAAAGAAAGCCCATGTTCCAACTGTTTGCCAGCAAAAATCAGTCTTTGCTGATCAGGAAGAATTCCTTCCTTATCCTGGATTCTGGCTTTTACATTTTCTACTGTATCCGACGGTTCAGCCTGTAGGGTAATGGTCTTCCCTTGAGGGTTTTTACAAAAATCTGCCTCTTGGTGGCGGTCCCACCCCAGATGGCGGATGGGAAAGGAAGAGCGCCGTGCTGGCCCATGGGGTTTTCCCAAGTCTCATTCTTCTCATCTTTGAAACTCTTAATTGTATGTATGTTAAATGGGGATTTTTTCCTTTAATATTTTTCTTTAGAATAGATTATTTTCACTGATCGCTTTTCAAATTCATTGACATTTTTCTCATCTATAATTTGTAATGAAGTATAGCCAATAAAATCTTCACTTCAGTTAATGTATTTTTTCAGTTCTATAGCTTTAATTTGTTATGTGTATATTTCCATTTTTTGCCAAGATTCCCTATCTATTCACTTATTAATGTCATATTTTCCCTTAAATCCTTGAACATATTCAAAACGTCAGCTTTAGCTCTTTTTGTTTTCTTTTTCTTTTTTTCTTTTTTTGGCTTTTTAATTAAATACCTGATTAATCTTCTCAGGGTAGGTTTCCATTTATAGCTTTTTGTCTATTGTGGGTTACATTTTCCTGTTCCTACATATATATGTAATTTTTTAACATACTGGACTACTGGACAGTGGATGACAGATTATAAAGACACTGAACAGTTAACTTTCTTTTTCTTTTTTTTTTTTTTTTTGAGAGGTTTTTGCTATAGGGCATGTGCGCTCGCCAGAAAGACAGAGAGAGACAGAGAGATAGAAAGCGAGAAATCACCCCCTGGGGGGATGGCCATGCAGCAATCTCTTCTCCTCCATTCTCCTCTCGGGATCTTGGGAACGCACGCACGGACACGCACGCACACACACGCACACGCACCCGGTGTGAGTTTAAGCCACCGGGTCCAGAACTTGAACCGCTGTCGACTACATAGGAGTCCAGAGACAGCCATTACGCTAACTGCTGGTCCCAACAAATAACTTTTTATGAAGGGTGCTGGTCTTTTTTTTCTAGAAGGCAGTTAAATTTTTAACTGATCAACCTAAAATCTAACCTAAATTTCATGCTTTGTTAATTTGGATCCAATTAAAGCCCTAAATGTTTCCTAAAGCCCTTTAGCTTTGCAAGATTCAAATTTCAAACTCTCTCTCTTTTAAGAATCCTCATAAGTTTTATTTCTGGTTTTAAGGGTATAGGATGCTAAATGTTAATGTATTGCTAATAAGGTGTGAAAGAGATCTCTATATCCAGGCATGGCCAGGCTTGTAATGTTTACCATCATTGCTTGACTTCTAAAATCTCTGGTCTTCCTCTTAGAAAATTTTTTCCTTCTAGTTTTCTTACATATGTGTTGCCCTGCCACACAGTAAATCACAGTAAACTTCCTCCTAAAATAGGCTACTTCTCATTACAATTCCTTCCTTCTCTGGTGCCCTTTCTTCCAAATCCTAGTGGCTTCAACAGTTTGAACAACCATTTCTGCCCCCATTAACATGGGTTTCAAAGTTTCCCTGGATACGAAACCATTATGATGATGGAATTAACCTTAAAAATTTTCTGCCTTTCACTTGCTTTCTATGACTTTTGCTGTCTGGTTTCTAATGCTAAAAAGTAGTCACTTCATCTACATTGTTTAGTTTTGTAGTTATTTATTTAGAAAAGGCTCTTATGGTATAAGGTACTACACCAGAGCCAGAAGCTATTGTTATGGTTGATTAAGATCCCTCTAAAATTAATCTGTATAGTATCATATACAGATCATCTTATTATTAACATTTTAATATGAAATAGTTACTACAGCACTTACTCACTTTTAAATATTTCTAGAATGACCATCGATAAGTTGAGAAATCATCAAACTAATATTATATCAGAGTTCTATTACATTTACCTTTAATTTCAGGAACACGAAAATTACGTCCTAATTCCACACTTCTCAAGGTTTCTTTTAGTCCAAAAACCTAAAATTAAAATTCAAAGATAGGAGGTTATATCCCAAATGACTTTAAAAAGCATTAGGTAAAATCCAAGGCTTAAATAATTGATCATAACGTATCAAAAATATTACTTTCTCTCGGATTAATATTTATAATTTCTTTTTTTTTTATTGAGAGGTTTTTTTGCTATAGGGCGCATGCGCTCGCCAGACAGACAGAGAGAGACATAGAGACACAAAACAAGAAATCATCCCTTAGGGGGGATGGTCACACCGCAATCCCTTCTCCTCCATTCTCCTCTTGGGATCTTGGGCACGCACGCACATGCGCCCAGCGTGAGTTCTAAGCCACCGGGTCCGGGACGCGAACCGCAGTTGACTATGTGGGAATCCAGTGACATAGCCATTATGCTAACTGCTGGCTCCCAATATTTATAATTTCTTTAAATCATTTTAAGATTTAAAGTATGCATGGGACAAGGAGTTAGCATAAAGGCTATGTTGCTGAACTCCCATGTAGTCAACTGCAGTTCGAGTCCTGGTCCCGGTGGCTTAAACTCACGCCAGGCGTGTGTGCATGCGTGCCCAAGATCCTCGGAGGACAATGGAGGAGAAGGGAATGTGGTGTGACCATTCCTCAGAGGAGAATGGAGGAGAAGGGAATGTGGTGTGACCATCTCCCCTGGAGGGTGACTTCTTGCTTTCTATCTCTCTATCTCTGTCTGTGTGGTGAACACACGCACCCTATAGCAAAAACCTCTCAAAAAAAAATCAACTCTATAAGCAATTATTATCATTTATGGGTAAGTATCTGAAACACCTATTTTACTGCATAGTTTCCTAAATCAAGAATATTAACTGCATACTTTAATGATTATCCAGTTCTTCACTTTCAGTGAGGTTTTTCCTCTGTTCATAGGGTTTTATAACTTATTTTCTTTATGTTTACAATATGTGAGGTAAACATTACTTGGAAATAAACTATGAAGATGTTGTTTTTATTCCCAAACTCTTACTTCATTTTTCACCCATAGAAACTCCCTGTTTTATTAAACATGTTATAATTAGGAGCATATGTTATTTTGATGGCATACTATTTATCTACATTTCCTGAGCAACAGACCTAAATTTAAACTTCAAACTCAAAAAGCAATCTTGTCCCTCATTGTTCATGATTACACTAACACAAGATGTCATCTATTTAATTATATACATATATACACATTCTTCTATCACTGAATAGCAATCTTTCTTTATTAATAGAAAAAAAGCAGATAATAAACTATAACCAGTATGTCAGTGCTAATGAAGTGTCTGGCTAAATAAAAGAATGACAGGTAGTATCTATTCTTGGAGGGCAAATGGATTACACATTTTTAAAATAAACTTCTTACTTAGAATAGCATTAAATTTAAGAAAAGTTGCTAAAATATTTCTAAGAACTTCTGCCTACTCCACACCATTTGCCCTATTTACATGATGCATTAGGACGGTACACTTACTATAGTAATAAACCAATATTCATATTATGAACTGAAGTCCATATTTTGCTTAGATTTCATTAATTTTTCCACAATAAACTTTTTATGTTCTAGGAGTTCATCCAGAATATTGCCTTACATTTAGTCATTACATCTCCTTAAGCCTTTCTGGACTGAGAAAGTATCTCAGATTTTTTCTAATTTTAATGGACTTGATAATTTTGAGGAATAATGGGCAGATAGTATTTGGCAGCATGGCCATAAGTTCTAGTTTGTCTGATGACTTTCCCATCGTTAAACTACAGCTAGAGGTTTTTGGCATGAAGGCTACAGAGGAGAAGTGCGATAATTCACATTCACATTACGAGTACATACTAACATCATGACTTAAACTAATGATGTTGCTCTTGATCACTCAGGTGAAGGTAATTTGCCAGATTTTTCACTGTAAAATTACTTTTTTCCCCAGGCTTCACTGTAATTTTGGATATAAATTATTAAATGCAGTCAATACTTAATCAGCTGCATTATAAAGGTTCACACCTCCTTGAGGAAAGGATTATCCACGTGTGTTATTTGGAATTCTTCTATATGGTAGGCTTCTCTCTTCTTGACCATTTATTTCCTCAATAATTTATGTACACCATTATGGAATCAGAGACATTTATTTTATACTTTATACATTATTTACATTGTTGCTCCAATTGTTTGACCAGGTTTGATCTCCAGGAGCTCTTTCAGCTTGGGTTCCTGTAAATGAAGAATCTGAATTCATTTTTTTTTAAATATATATTTGATTGCTAGCAGCTTTTAAATATAAACTGCTACCTTTATGCCTGAGCTCCACATCCAGACAAGCTAATGCCTGGGTGGTCCATCTTTCAGTATTGGTGGGAGATTCAGATCATGCAAGCTTTTCCCTGCACTTGAGAATTCTCACCCTAACCCAAATTAAGTATCATACAATAAAAAAACCAAGACTGTCTCCTTTCCTTACATTCTCTCAGGACATTTCAGAAATGTTTAGGAGGTGTGCTCTATTCTCAGAGAACTCAGTTATGCAAGTAACAAATGTTTTCACACCCTCTTGGTGTAGATATGACATCATTAGTTTCAACATTCAAACCAAATGTGACTGGGAATTCATCCACTTCTACAGATGCCCACTAAATGTTCTTTGTTCTTTGATATACCTTATTATTTTTTCCTGTGGTTTGTATATATGTATGTAAGAATCTCTACCTCTCTTTCTCTCATTTTGCTTTATTTTCTCTTTATTTTCTACTTTAACAAATGTTCCAAGGACGCCAGCCTTATGTTGTCTTTCTTCTACCCAGACCTAGAATCACCCACTTTTCCAATGAGCCCTCATTTCTTTTCCTTTTATTAGAAGACAAGATCTGATTTGGGTATGCTCATTGCTATCAGAATGTCATTACTTCTAGTCCCAGCAGAGAGATCTAGAAAATATATGTATTTATGTTTTAGTATACATATATACTATACATTCTGAATGATAGTCCCATGATCCAAAACAGATAAAGCATCATTTATTATATGAATATTAACAAATCAATTACATTTTATCTTTTTTGGATTATGAAGCTCTAACTCAGAATTTTGAAAAATATTTTAAGTAATTAAGTAATTTTGTAAAGGTGGAAACAATTGAAATGATAGGTTTTTAAGTTTTACATAAATTTAAAATAATTATTTCATTGTTTATTATCTACTAAAAATGCTTGAAAATACATACTTCTAAAATCCCAACTGGAGCTATTAAGATTTGGAACCAAAGGAAAAATAAAATCCAGTAGTTCAGGCATACTCCAATAATAAAGTCTCCTTGCCCCTACTTTCTCAGGGAATAGCCTAAGAAAATTGACAGCCTCTTAAGGAAGCCTTCATATTTTGCACTGTCCTGAACAAACATAGTGCCTTTCAGGTGGTGCTTGAAAACTGACTGAAAGATTATGGATAATAGATAAACTATAGCAAAAATTCTCATGGCTTATATTTGCAGTATAAGGAAAATCAGAAGCCTCCTCAATTCAACTTAGTGTGGTTCGTGAAAATGTTATCTTTTGAAGCACTGGACCGAAATAATAATAGTAATAACTAGGGTTAAGATAAAAATGACACAAACATTAAGGAGCTCATAAATGCTGTGGCAGAGATCATCAATTTAGCAAGGTATATTAGGCTCACATACAAAAGAACACTCAGAATCATGCACCTCAACATCAGGAAGATGACCAAAATCTAGTCATACTACATTGCAAAGTAAAGATGGAAGACAGGACGTAGAGTTCAGGTGATATGGATACATAGGTGACCCCATCTACTATGAACAATCTGGGGAAGAATGAGAAGAGGATGCTTTTTGTTTTTGTTTTTGGTTTTTTTTTGGAGAGGTTTTCACTATAGGGTGCGTGCGCTCGCCAGACAGAGAGAGAGAGACAGAGACAGAAAGCGAGAAATCACCCCCCAGGGGAGATGGCCACACCACAATCCCTTCTCCTCCATTCTCCTCTAGGTATCTTGGGCATGCACGCACACGCGCCCGGCATGAGTTTAAACCACCGGGTCCGTGACATGAACCGCGGTCGACTACATGGGAGTCTAGCAACATAGCCATTACATTAACTGCTGGTCCTGAGGATGCTATTTAAAGAAAGAAAACTAACACTAATAATTATGTTTTAGATAAGTTAATATAGTATTCAGATACCCTGTGATGTATCTAAAAAAGTATTTTTACGCAGAAAAATATAGATGGTCTTAAGAGATAGGTTATCTTTTCTTTTGCCTTCAGCAAGAGTAAAAACAAAATGAAATAAGTTGCAGATAATGAAGATACATATATTTGAACATCTGAACAGTAGTGTGTAAAATTTAACCCTGACTCATATAATGAATAATTTTATTTAATTTTTTTAATTTTGCCATAGTATGTCTGTGCTCACCAAAGAGACCAAAAAAAAGCACCACTGGGGATGGCAACACCACAGTCCCTTCTCCCCCATCTTTCCCTTTTTTCAGGATTTTGGGCATGCATACACACACACCAGCATGTTTTTAAGCTGCCAGATGTGGGATTCAAACCATGCAGTCAGCCATGTGGGATTCAACTATCTGAATCTCCATGCCACCAGCTGGCCCAATTTTACCTTTTTAAACATGTTTACATTGTAGATACACACTAATCATAAGGCAAGTTTAATAGATGAGGAACACATATAAGTAAACAGCCTGAATGTTCACATGACTATTCGATAGCACAATTGGAATTCACACCTACCACTACCATCCCCTCTTTCCACTAAATCAGGGAGGTGCAAGCTAAATGTAAAGACTATATAGGACCTGAATATGTCTTCAATATGACCTTTAATCTAACATTAGGAATTCCCCTCATACTAGAGATAGAGGGATGACCCAGGAAGATGACTCCCAGAAAGATGTTAGCCATAAACACATAACAGATGAGTTTCAAGATCCTATGTTGGGTAGTGTACAGAAGCTGAAATGTTCAATCTGGAGGGTGTGTAGGCATCTCTTAACGCAGATGCTTGGGGGTCCCTGCATTCTTGAAGAGTGACAGTTGAGTCTTCTGTCGAAGATGCCAAAACACAAGTGGTCACTTGGTAATGTATGGCCAGGTCACTAATGGATTCACTATTGAAGAAGTATAATAGGGAGACAAACTTAAGATCAGGAGGACTAAAAGTGTATGATAAGCAGTAAAGGTCTAGGCTGAACCTGCGGCAGGAATAAGAAATAGGAACAGACCTGAATCCATCTCTCAATACCCAAGGATGTACAGTCATGCCTTTGGAGGGCTTAGAGGACATATTAGATGAAAAAGAGCAAGATGAAATTTTGAAGGTTTGACATATTATGCCATAAAAATATAAATTATTAAATGCCACTGTATTCAACGCTACTTATAGTACAATTCAAACAATCAAGAACACAAAATTGAAATTCAAACACAAGAGACATAGAGATAAGTGATGTTTTACACTTTAGTAGCTAAGAATTTCTATCAAAAGACAAAATAAACAAGTAAGTCATGTCTTAACAATGAAATTATTTAAGAATAAGTATTACTGTCACAGTTTTGTAGCTGAAAGTTTGGCCAAAAATTTAAATCTTCCCAAAATAATAATAGTAAAAAAAATGCCAAGCACAGTTACAAGTTTTATAATTTATAACAAACTGTTAATATATTTTAACATGGTATGTAAACATTGTTTTTTTTTAATTCTATGCCAAAGATTCTTTACAATTGCCCTAGGCCCAGATCTATGCAAAAACTGTAATTAGAATGGAAAAGGCTGTTTGGGACCAGTAGGCAGTATGGTGGATAAGGGTACTAGACTCCCACAAGTTCGACCACAGTTCAAGTCCCAGGCCTGGCAGCTTTCTCGCTTTCCCTCTCTCTAACTCTCACTCAGCCCCACTCTGGTCAAATTAACGTAGGTAAGTAAGTAACTAACTAAATAAATAAATATATAATATAATACACCATATTAACAGGAAGAAAGATAATAACCATATGGTCATATCAATTGATGCAGAAAAAGCATTTGATAAGATACAACATCCCTTCATGATCAAGACTCTCAGCAGTTTTCAGCATAGAAGGGCCATTTCTCAACACAATGAAAGCTATCTATGAAAAACCCATAGCAAACATCATCCTCAATGGAGAAAAGCTGAAAGCTTTTCCACTAAAAACGGGTACAAGACAAGGATGCCCACTTTTTCCACTCCTTTTCAATATAGTGCTGGAAGTCCTCACCAACGCAATCAGAAAAGAGGAAAAAACAAAAGGCATTCGAATAGGAAAAGAAGAGGTGAAACTCTATTTGCAGATGACATGATTGCATACATAGAAGCCCCAATGGTATCCATGAAAAAATTTCTGAAAGTAATACATGAATACAGTAATGTTGCAGGATACAAAATCAATACACAGAAATCTACAGCATTTCTATATATAAACAATAGGCAGACTGAGATAGAACTGAAAAAAGTTATTCCATTTACCATAGCCACAAAAAGTATAAGATACTTAGGAAAAAATCTAACGAAAGAAGTTAAAAACCTCCACAAGAACAACTATGAGAAGCTAAAAAAAGAAATTGAAATGACACAAAAAAGTCGAAGGACATCCCATGTTCCTGGATTGGAAGAATTAATATAATCAAAATGACAATTCTACCCAAATTAATCTACATATTTAATACAATGCCGATCAAAGTACCAGACACATTCTTCACAAATCTAGGAAAGATAATCATAAAATTTGTGTGGAATCATAAAAGACCTCATATTGCCAAAGCAATCCTGCAGAACAGTGGAGTGGGCAGCATCTCACTCCGTGACCCAAAAATATACCACAAAGCTGTGGTAATGAAAACACCAATTAAACACCATGGTACTGGCACAGAAACAGACATGTGGACCAAAGTAACAGACCGGAGTCCCCAGAAACATACAGTCCCAAACATACAGTCAACTGATTTTTAACAAGGGGTACCAGTCAATCCAGTGGGAAAAAAAAAAACCTCTTCAACAAATAGTGCTGGAAAAACTGGATTTCCACCTGCAGAGAGATGAATCTGAACCCCTACCTCTCCTCTTTAACAAAACTCAAGTCAAAGTGGATCAAAGATCTAAACCTAAGACCA